ATCAGAAAGAGAAAGAAACTGACACAATGCAAACTCCGTTCAGTCCAGTGGTCTTACAGGGGCCGGTGAGCCAGATTGTACTCTCTCCATAGTGCCTATTCAAGTAAAGTCTAAGAAGGGACATGAAACCTTCATAACATATGCCTTCCTGGATCCTGGGAGCTCAGCATCATTCTGCACGGAGCGGCTGATGAACAAACTGACATTCTGATGTAGAGTTTCAAAATAAAATACCTTTGGGGACAGGGATGATAGCTCATATATGAGACTTCAAAGGTCTTTTATTTTGAAACTCTACATCAGAATGTCCTGATTTTTTCTGAGTGACTAGATGGGATGTCCTGCTATCACCCTGAAGTGAAATGAGTCTTTGATACTGTACAGTTTTTGTTTTATTCTCATCTAAACACAGAGGGATGATTTTTTTTTACTCTACGGTAATGCATAGGATATTCGCGCACCGCAATATCACGTGAGGGCTGGCTTGACTAGGTTTTCCCGAGTGGAGGCTGGCTTGACCCCAGTTAGTTTAGCATACTCAGCCCGACTCAGCCTGGTTGTTCCTGGCCCTAGAACCACGATTTTATGGGGCCATTACATCACCAGAAGTCCCAATTTAAGGGGTCATTTCTCCCAAAAAATAAATTTGTATTCACTATATCAACAGCCCCACCAGAAAATATTTGCCATCAGCCGCCACTGGACTTTTTGCTTTTTTACATTTATGCTAGCAGATTTATGGCATTTCCAGATTATGTATTGAAAATAGCTCAAATGTAACGACCCTTATAGTGTATTGATAACAACCATGGTGCCAGCAGGTTGCCCTGTTGTACTGTACATCAAATCCAGTTCAACATACCCTGGATATTTTTTTGTTATCTGGCTTAACTAACCCTAACAAACGTGATCTCGCTAAGTGGCCCTACGACGCTGGTTATCAACCCGGTAAATCAACCCAGGGTTTCTCTGTCTGGCTGAGTACGCGTTCATTTGAAAGGGGCGGGGTTAGCAACATTTGACCAATCACAAAGATGGAGAAGCATACTGACAGCGCAGCGTAATACTTCATGAATAAACTATCATGTTAGACAAATATGAAGAAGTTAGACTTTAAACATCCATGACTTAAAAAGATAAACCAGGATAAAAGCAACACAGCTGCACCTGCAAGGCGCAGGAAGAACAGCTGGTAAAAAAATACTACCAAGTGTTTGAATGCATACATTAACAGTTTTATGATATCACTTCCCCATCTAAGACACGAGTGGATCTGAATTCAATTATATTTGAGTGTTTCGTCAACTTAAAGTGTTGTTTTAAATAACACATAGATACAGTGTGATAATTTAAGTGTTGCACGGCCAGATAGGGTTCGAGAAGCTGACACATATAAGGAAATATATATTATGATGTGATTGATGATGTGATAATGATAAATGCCACACTGTACGCAATGCTCTGAGTTAATTTGCTCGGGTTACTTATGTTGTGGCAGATATTTAATTAAGCTTGCTTAACGCAATTGTAATAATAGTCGGATTGCTCTGAAGATGGGCAGTGATATTCTATAAATGTTCATGTTCACACAGTCGGTGATTTTTGCCGGCTGTCTTTCCTGCAACGGCAGGTTAAACTGTATTTCCTTAATCCTGTAATATTACTTGATAGCTTTAAACTGCTGACCAACACTTGGTCAGCAGGCGGTGCTTTCACTGAGTTGATCTCTTATCTGGAACATGCTCCGGAGCAGCTTAGGTGTTCAGCATAATGGAGATCTACCCCGGTAAGAAGTGAGCCAGCGCCGTAGGACCGAAAACCCAGAGTTAACCCTGAAGTTACCTCTCTAACCCAGAGTTAACCCTGAAGTTACCTCGCTAACCCCAAATTCTACTTCATAGTACTGGGTACAGGTGGAGCAGACTTCCATCCATACATCTAAGGCCACATTTGAATTTGTTGATATAAAATACTCTTCTTGCCTGTGCACAGGATGGATAACATCCATTGTTTAACACTGCCTCTTGCCGTCAGATAGGGTGAAAAAGAACAACATTTTCCCTGGTTTCTATCAGTTATGATATATTTGTAATCACCAAAGTAACTACTGAGTTCTGTCAACATAGTGACATCACTAAACATAAGCCAGACATGCATACAAATACACATTACAAGGTCAATATAGACACACTGATAAAGGATGCTTTATAGTGTGCAGGTCATTTTTTTTTTGTGGGACTTTTGTGCAGTCCCAATTTAAATCTGTATTTATGACTAGTTGACTGTGCAAATTACTTTTTTATTCACTTTAATGCTGTCTAATGAGGAGAAAATTGAATTGAAACAGTAAATAGTGTGTTAGTCATCACAGATTGCTGTTACCTTAAAAACACCTTGTTAAAATACTTTTTCTTGATGGCTATCCTCTTTATTTGCTCTGGTGTGTGTGTGTGTGTGTGTGTGTGTGTGTGTGTGTGTGTGTGTGTGTGTGTGTGTGTGTGTGTGTGTGTGTGTGTGTGTGTGTGTGTGTGTGTGTGTGTGTGTGTGTGTGTGTGTGGGTGTGTGTGTGGGTGGGTGGGTGTGTGTGTGTGTGTGTAGGAGAAAACCAGCGCCCTGTCTCTCAGTAACGTGGCAGGGGTCTTCTATATCCTGGTTGGAGGTCTGGGTCTGGCCATGATGGTGGCTCTGGTAGAGTTCTGCTACAAGAGCCGTGCTGAGGCCAAAAAAATGAAGGTAACCTATATTTGCAATTCATGTTGTAGTTTGATTGACTTATAGTTTATATTGGGATGAGCTCTGTGTATTAAGATGTGTTTTTAGAGTTTAAGAAAAATCCTATGGTGTTAAGGGTTTGTCGAGGATTGCCCAATTAGTAGTGATTCATTGTTTCCGTATTTGCCAGTATATAATTTAAACATACAATAACTTGTTTTGCTGTACATTACGTCAACCTTTAAAGATGGTAAAACTTGTTGCAAACAGTTACTTACTTTTATTGAATTACTTTTAGCTTTATGTTGGTCTTCTGGCCTTTTAGCACCTAAATCCCAACAAAGTTGCTCACAGTATGGTGTGTGCTGCAGAACAAAAACCTTTTCACCCATACGGGTTGCTATATTAAGATAAATATGTATTACTCACATAGTACATCACACTTTTAAATACATTACGCCCTCATGTTCCTTATATGGAGTTGCCTTTCGGGGTAAAACTCACATTCATATTAGCCAGAAATTAAAGATTCTCTGGAACCCCTTAATACTTATCAGGTATATTTAATATAAATGTTTTTACCATGTGTACTAGCTACATGCATAATTGCTATGGACATTGACTTTGTGCTCCAGATTTGGTATCTCATATTGATTACATTTCTTCCCGAAACAAAAAAACTAAACTTATCCCTGTAATAATTCTTACAATATTTTTGGAATATTTTATTATTGGGTCATATAATTTAGGACAAGTAAATAAGAAATGTACTCGTGTCAGTGTGTACAAACACTATTGCAAGTTTGTGGTCCTACTCTGTTTTTTGTAAAAAATGTGGTTTTATTTTTTTTAGGATTTTCACAGTGTGCTGCACTCACTACTTGAGGTGTTTGGGCAAAGCCTTTAAATTATTTTACAAAATTCCAATTTATATTTTCAGGAGGAGTTTTATCCAACTTTCTAGTTCTAAAATAGGGCTTCATGTTTTGTGTTCATAAGACAATTTGTGTGATCAGAACATTTCAAATATTTACCCAAATTATTGTGGGGATATTCACTTTTCCGAATTGGCTTTGCTTTGTTGCAGAGTGTGTTTATGGCCAAGATAAATCTCCCTGATGCACTAATTCTAACCCCTATGATAATTTTGTTGTAGCTTGGTGTTTTCCAGAAAAAGTTGTATCTCTGCCTATTTCCCTGAGATCTACTCTCCTCTGAAATACCATGGTCTCTTCCACATTCACTCTCAGTGTCCCTTTGTCCCCTTCTTCCTGCTGTAGGTGGGACAGGCTCTGGGTAAACACTTATCTGTTGGAACAGAACTAGATCATTGATGAAGAGCAGTTATTTAAATATCTCTGCAATGCTGTGAAGGATGAGCCTTGGGCGACAGACTGATTATTGGTTAATGTGAACAGTGTTGTACTCCGACTGTCCCTGTCTTACTCGACCTCAGTTAAAGATTTCAGTTCATTTGGAGCCAATTCCTAATGCATTTAATAATGTCATAACTATTACCCCCTACACCACTTTATAAAAGCACCAGTGGCAACTTGATAATTTAATAAAAAGCCTGCTGTGAAATACACTGTCACTATAACATCAAAATGTGTTTCCTCTTTTATTTGTGGTGTAGTTTTTAAGAAGTGTGTGTGTGTAGGAAAAAAAAAATGGAAAAAAATCAGGATGTGTGGGGGTTAAATGTTCTACTACAGACATTGTGCTTGGTAAGGAAGGAAAGCATTTTGGCATTACTCATACTGTTCATGTTAATTCATCTGTAAGTTTGAGGGTGAAGTTTGTCAGCCCTTTTAGAGATGGGGTAATACAAATCTCTCCCTCTCTCTCTGCAGTAAACTACTATTGGTCACACTTCTAAAGATTATTTGTTCAATAAGCACAGTATAGTAATACCAATCATTTTATTTTTGTTATGAAGGTGGCAGCCAACACATTGTCCTCCCCCCAGCACACAGGAAACTACACACACACTTTGTCTTCTCCTCAACATGCCCCCAACTTCAACCTGCTGTCCCCCAGCCACCAGCCAAACTACGCCACCTATAAAGAGGGCTACAACGTTTACGGCATTGAGAGTGTCAAGATCTAACACGGGTAGGAGAGTGATGATTGATGGCTGAAACTTTCCTCACCTCACAGTCATACACATTGTTTAGAATTCACTTTAAATTGGTATCCATTCATACCATCAAACAGCAGCTGCAGTATCATTATGGTGGTGCCTAGCAGCTTCAAGGACACATTTGAATATGGCCAATGGTTCAAAGTGGAACTTGATCTGGTATGCTGTTGCGCGTATAGTTTTAATGACAGTTGTGGCATTGAATGACAAAATCAAAGAGGAGATAATTAATCAATGAAAACAGTAGTTATCTTAAAAAGAGATAGTGAGGCCTCATAGAAAAGATAACTGTTTTATTTAAGGCAAAAAATTGGCTGGGCCTATTTTTTCTTTTAATTGCAACATATAAGTTTACAATATAATGACTTTTATGCAAACATTTTAGGATCTTTTTTTAATTTGATGCCAAGTTTCAGTTCCAAAGAGCTTACACTACTGCTTTGTTTCCAATGTATTAATGTTGGTATTATTATGTTATACTTTTTGCATGTTAAAATGATCATAAAAAGAAGACAAAAGTAATAACTGAGGTTGACTGGCACTGCTGATGGTATGATTCACTAGATGTTCAGGAATGCAGCAGTTGTTCTTGATAAACAAAAGCAACACTGCATGCAAAGTATCTGGATGTTATCTAACCTGTGTATGGCTGTGAAACTCCTTTGTCCACTCATCACCTCTCCTCACTCCCTCTCACTCCTCTGTCCCGCTTCCTTCTTTACACTCCTCTCTTCTGCTCTATTCAGCCTCTTTCCCATCCGCTTTTCCATTTTTACTTTGTTTAGTTCCCTGATCAAACTTTCTTACGTTCGAGCCAATCATCCTCTTTTATGGACCGACTCTCTGACCGATCACTTCCATCTGCCGTGATGTCAGCTTTTCATTAGGCAGTCCCATGATTTCATTTTCAGGATAGGATGGTTTGGACGTCAGCATTATCAAACAGCGTTAATAAAACACAGCTGTGTTGCTGTGATGAACACCACTGTTGCTTTTGAGATTTTGTACCTGTTACAACACATACAGTATGGGATGTCACAGCTCTGCATGGCCTGATGGAAGGCACTGTGGGGACAAATGTGAGGCCCAGGTGCACATATATACTTCACCTGAGTTATTTTGATTTCTACAACAGAAAGGACTAGCAAGTCTGCCTTTAGGGAAGGATGAGCTGAACCTGGGCACTCAACCTTGGAATAGTGGGTCAAAGTGGAAAAGACCAGGGGAAAACTTCTGTCGCATGACATAACCTTCCCCTCAAAGTCAGGAGACCCAGCCAGAATGTGGTTGTTTTAAATAAACAGGAGAACTGCACCCCATTATACACATGTTAGCGTCAGAAGACACTTCTATTGTCACCTTACCCGGCAAATCTTTCCCACCTAGACATACTGTATGTAATACGTAAAGTAGTCTGGAAACAAAATCAAGGCTGGCCCTCGCACACTCATTACACTCCATATCCTTATCCTCTGACGATAGGTTCACCATAACAACACATCAATAGAATAGAGACCGTTGATGGATGGAGCACAGCCACTCCACTTCCTACTCCCCTACTTCAGCTTCTCAACTGTTGTTTCTGTTTAACCTTCTAGATGTTTCTGCTTGGACTACAATGCATTAGTGTTGGAGACTGGCTTGTATAGATGTCTCTTATTCTCTACCGAGTGAATTAACTGAATCTACTTGTATCGATCAATATCATTTATGTTCCCCTAAGGATAGGAATGAGGTACACGACCATATTTTAGTTAAGCCTCACAACAAAGTGATTTCCTATATTACATGTATTGAACATTGTTTCTCTCCTTCAGCAAACAAAAGCTAAACTCATAACAAATTATTTCAAAAGGAAAGTAGCCCAAAGCTTATTGAGTTACGTATATGATGTAGCAGTATCAGGCACCATGGCCAGGTATCCTTAACAAAAAGATAATGTTAGAAGTTCCTGTAAACCAGAATTCATACTCATTCACAACATATCAATGGCCCTCAATGGTCTCATCTGCCTCAAATGTGTCTTCACTTTTGCCCATACTTCATGATGCTTTGGTCCTGTAATGCTACAGTACATCTCGCTGCATTGAGTGGCCTCAGGAAAAGTTGTTGTAATTTATGTCTCTCTCTTTACCTCCGTTTTCAAAATTTATAGATTTATACCATATTCTACTGAGACATATATATATATTTTTTTTAATAAAATGGTGAAGAATAAAACTAATATCTTCAATTAACTGTGGGACTGTGGCTGGGAGGAAGTACGGTCTTCTCTCAACCAGAAGGTTGTGGGTTCGATCCCAGCCCTGCAGTCAACATGTCAATGTGTCCTTGGGCAAGATGCTGAACACCTGAGATGCTCCCGATGGCCAACGTTGTGTGAGAGTGTATAAATGTTAGTTCCTAGAGCAATTGGTGCTGGGTGTGAATGGGTGAATGACTGGTAGTATGTAGAGCGCTTTGAGGGGTCGAGAAGACTGCAAGTACAGTCCCTTTACCATTCAAGAGCTGCACAGTGAGTGGGTTCATTTCAGCTATATTCATATGAAATAATAATCAAAGATTGTATTACTATGATGCAAAACTCCAAGCAATCAAGCAATTCTGTTCATTGATTTGTAACATCCCCCCACAATTGACCTTATGCATGTTTGCTATCTGCTGATCACCCACTCATTAAAGCTAGCTTTCTATATTCATATCTATCTCACTCTCCTCATCTCCCTCTTCTTTTCTTGGTGAAATGTTTTTTAAACGGGGATCAATAGCAGCTCATGTTGGGTATATGTGCCATAGGAATGGGTCTCAATTTAAAAGAATATGTAAAATACAAATGTGGTAACGATTTAGTAAGCAATAGTTAATAGGTAATAAGGTCCTCAGCAGTCCCCAACCTTTTTTGCGCCATGGACCGGTAAGACAATAGTTTACGGACGGGCCTTCAAGGTTTAAGGGATAGATATGACGAAATAAAATGATACAACAGGCATAAAAACAAATATGAAGGCGGGCTGGGCAATAGATTTCTGAACAAAATCTTTAGACCGGGGGAAAAAAACGCTCCACAAAGACGGGATGTTGGAAATAGAAACAGGGTTTTCAGTGCTTCTTTGGCGATCTGCCATGATTTTAATCCAGAACACAGGCAGAATTCTTGTGGGAAACATACTTTTAACAAACTCTAACCCACGTGTACGCACTAAGCACAAAAACGGGAGAGACGAGAAACTGCGACACCGTTGGCAGAAGGAAGAATGGAGAGAAATATGTGGGAATAATACCATAAATAAAATGTTACCTCTCATTTATCATATATGAAGAATTCATTTTTAAAACATTGATTAAAGCCAATCTTAAAATGATTTAACAAACGCCTGTTTGAGACTCCTCAGTGCACACAAAAACATAAATTGGAGAAATAAATAAATACGGATATGTTATTTAAAACCACCTCGAATAATGTTATGAAATGTTTTCTCATAAATGATGCGGTAAGCAGGAGGACAGAATTACGTCAAAACTGACGCCGTTTTGCATTTCTATAGGTTGTACGAGCATGGTTTTATATACTACCATGTTTAATCATGTTTTATACCGTTGGCTAAGACTTGATAAGTCGCTCATAAAACACAGGAGGCATGGAAACTAAGAACACTATATGTGGTAAATTGTACAGCTAATATAACGCAACACAAGTTGTATTTCCTTTAGCTGGTGGATATAGAGTTGCTGCAGTGGAGACGCTGCGCACAGCTGATCGACAGCTGGGACACAAACCACCGACTACAAAAAAATAATTCAGATCCAGTCGTCATGACTCCACTCCGGAGGGATTCCCCGATCATTTCTTAGAGTTTCTCATCAAGGTCCCCGGTACAAACACACTGCCTGAGGAAGGCTATGTGTATTTATTTTTGTCATTAACCTTTTTCGGACCACTTATTTATTTATTTTGGTGACGATCCGACCTCCATGCTGCTACTCTGGTTCAAACTGCATCCACCAAACAATACGATTTATCTCGACCTCCCCAAAATAACCAAAAACTGACACGGTGTGAGATGTCTTTTTTAGCTGTTCTGTCGTCTTTTCCTGCGATCTTCTTCATAAAGTCAGTCAAAATGAATGAATGGGCGTTTCTTTGACTATTTATCGGCAAATATGGGCATTACGTGAAGCCCGCAAAAGCTGCACCGCATTTCGAGTCGATTGTGATTTATAAAGGGAAACCGGCGTAGGAAGTGCCGTACGCACTTTCCTCGCCGGTACGCAATGTTTGGTGAATCGGAAAATGTCGGAAAATATCTGTAACCTACCTATTTTTTGGATTTCTACTACGTAAGCAACCTTCCCACGTGAATCCTAAGCACGGCGTTATAAATGAGGCCCCTGAGCTCAATATTTCAAGTAGCAGAGCGGCAGTTCCACAGGCCTCCTGTGACAAATTATTAAGTGGGAGTGGAGCTAGGTGGATAGATGGGAGCAGAAAGGTATACATTTATAATATCTTCAAGAAGAAACCTGAACAGGAACAAAGAGTTCACGTCTAGATGAGGAGAGTGAAAAGACAGCTCAAAAGATATTTTGCCAAGTCTGAGTTTGATTCCCACCACCTCCCCTCCCACAAGACTCCCTTGTCTGTCATCGTCTGACATTAAAGCTGACGCTTCAAGAACATGCTGGTTTAAAAGGAAACTTTTCTTGATTGCTCAGTTGACTAAAGCTGCTGGGCCACACCGCTCTAATCAGTGCACATGAAAAACTGCTGTTGAGGCCATCAATCCATCAAAACTCTTTCAACTGAGAAATGTAATCAGTCAAAGAACCCAGTTTTTCAAATTCAACCCAATTTTTACTAAAAACACAATTACACAGAGCACAACGAACAGGAAAGATAATGAAACAGTCGTTAGTTATTTAATAAGATGAAGATAGGTTCAAGGTTCAAGGTTCTTTATTGTCAAACTAACATAGCTACAGAGTAATGTCATTGAAAATCTTAGGTCACAGGCTTCTCCAACAATGCAACACACAATAATACAGATAAACAGACAATATTAAAGCACTATTAAAGTATATTATATTAAAAGTAATACAAAAGAAAAATAGTTCTAAAAAAAGTGGAATAGTGCAATACGAGTCTATATACAAGTTATTGGAATGATATATTAGATAATAGATAAATAAGTTGCAGATGAATGTTGTGAAATTGTTTATATTATATATGATATGATATATAATAAACAAGGTTTTAGTACACTGAGTTTTGCTTTCAGAGCTCCTGTCTTTAGAATGAGTACTTTATGTTGTCAAGGTTGATAAAATGGGAATAAAGAATCACATTTAAGTACAGTGTTTTAGTGAAAAAACAAAAAATTGAGGACAGCTCTTAACAAAGAAAGATTATTTAATCTTTCTTTGTTAAGAACTGTCCTTAATTTTTAAATGCTTGAATTAAAAAATGCAGGCAGCAATATGTGGCCACAGAGAGAACATACTTTCTCACCAAAGCTTTCCCTGACCAGGTCTTGAAAGGAACATTAAAATGACACTGTTAAACATTGCGGTAACAAAAGGGAAAATATGTTTGGAAAATGTTAAGTTGCAACATTTTTTAATGTTGATGAGATTCATTTTATATAAAAAGTTCTGGAATTATGTCTTTACATTAATTGTGATGATACTGTAATTGTAATAATAACTGTACCTTTATTTGTGAAAGGCCTGTTTGTGGAAGCTTTTTAAAACACTCTCATTTTCACACACACACAAAAGAGACGGCCGTCTCTTTTGTGCATTGCTAGAACATTGTATGTATTCATATTCATTATTCACATTCATACCACATTAGTATAAAGTTTGTTGTTAGTCATACATTAAATATTCTTAAAAAATCATAGCTAGCTATAAAAAAGGCCATAATAAAGGATTTGTTCAACATTAATAAGTCAATGGTACCTGCCAAAAGGGAAAATCTGGTGGCATTAATCCAGAAATGAAATAATGACCAGAATTTGCCAATGCATGTATAATCTCATGTTTTTAAAAAGTAAAAAAACGAGTAGTGTACTGCTTGCACATGCTCTTCAATGTAGTAAACCTAACTCAGTTTGCCTGTTTGTCATGTGCACAGAGAGTATGAAAAACTTGGACAAGAAGAAACTGTGTAAAAAACATTATTTTTGATCAAGCCATGATCAAAAATACTGGGTCATTTTAGAACCAGTAGGCCAAGGGGGATTCTTTTTAGTTTACATAACAACAGCCTGTTCCCCTAGGCTGCAAACAGAGGTTATGTTACATTCTCTATTCCCTATTCAAAGTTTACTAATATTAAATGCAGAATAAATGCGATAATATAGTAATAATAAAACCAGTGTCAGGAGTATACTGCAGAGACTTCGGAAGGGGGACACTGTAAAAATATTCAAGTCTATTAAGAAAAATAAGTTTTAGTCTTTAAAGAAAATGCAAGATTGCTTTTCGAATAATACATTTAATTCCACACTCAAGATAAGTTACAATTATTTTCTACGTTACAGTCCACACCACAATGCATTTCAATCACATGAGGTTGATAATCATTTTAAGGAATTGTTCAGGATTTTAGGAAAAACGCTATCACTGAAACCAGTTTTTAAATTTCTTCCAGACATGAGATTGATATAAATCTTCTCTTGTAAAAAAAGTAAATAAGCACATTTCCTAAAACAATGAACCATTCCTTTAGGGTAAGTGTTGTGTTAGAACATATTTTCTAGGCAGTTGTTGTTTGGGTTTCATGATTAAAACTTTTTTGTTGTTGTACAGATGAAATTCACAGATGCGATGCGCTCCAAAGCTCGTCTATCCATCACAGGATCGACCGGTGAGAATGGCCGTGTCCCGGTGGCTTACCTCCGTCCAGGATTACCCATGAGCCTCAGCATGACTGACCTGTCCTGACCTGACCCATGCCAGTGCCTTACAGCCGCACCACACATCCTCCTGCCCTCTGACAGTGAGTGGAAATGCTTGTCATCTCCGTTGGTGACCAATTACCACTGATCTACACTGATTTTCAATCTGGAGTTTCCCAATCATATCACGCTGAGGACTCCTGATCTTACTATTTATTTTTTCGCCTACAAAGACTGGACACAAGTTGTCCCCCCACCACTGGCTGTCAGGTTTTAGAAAAGACCTGCCAACCTACAAAGTGAATCACTGAACCATCAGCAAAAAGATGGCTGGTCATTTATAATTCATAAAAAAACTATTAAGCACAGTGGACAGTTTTTTAAACAAACACATCATTGTTTCGTAGATTTTTGCCATGGAGGACAACAGTGATGCTGACGTTAATGCAATAACAAGATTAATCAGGGATGTGATCAGGAATTGTGTGTATAAAAAAAGAGTCTTGGTTAAAGTGCTTTGAACAAAGACGGATGTCCTGAAAAAATCACATCCATGAAATAATAGTAAATGTAATAACAGATTATGATAATGGTGTTATTGTTCTTAATTGTTTTTCTTAATTCTGCCTGAAAATTCCTAATTAGTAGTCTTTTACCAAACCCAAGGGATGCATGGACTGATAAACACACACACACACACACACACACACACACACACACACACACACACACACACACACACACACACACACACACACACACACACACACACACACACACACACACACACACACACACACACACGTATTGTACATAGACTATACACAGGGATGGACGGAAACAAAGCCTAAAATCCTAAAACTTATAAGTTTGGACCACTGACACGTTGTCCAGCAGGGAGGACAGCTTGACCCCAGGACAGGGCTTTAGTCTAGTGTTGCAGAGTGCTACATCAGCTAATGGCCAGACACAGTTTGAGTTATGTGTATGTTCTTTCACTGTGGCTGTTGTCTCTGTGGTACAGTTGACTTTGCAAGCTTTCAAAGGGCCACATGTTGTATTCTCCAGCCAAGCTGCTCAGTCCTCATGAGGGGTTTGGCTCACAGCCCAGCTTGGCACAGTGACTGCAGATATGTGCATAATTCAAATATCAGTTATGATGCTGTAAGTTACATTTGCAGACCATTTCAAGTATATTTTACTTGGGGCAATAAGCCCCAATATAGCGAGGGGCTTGAAAAGGCTGAGACTCAGTTACAGCTGGTCCCTGGTTATACGAGCTTAGAGGATGGATAATGGTGGAACAGCTTGCGGAATAAAAAAAGGACAAATTATCTGTGCAGTGTTATCAAAAGATATATATTATACATATATATACAGTATATATGTTCATATAAATATGGTGCTTCAAATACAATTTTAAAAAGATCCTGCTCACCCCTGTCTATAGGTCAGCTCACAATACAGATCCTAATCACCTATACACAACCCCACTACACACTGAAATACCTCAGCACATACACACTTCTACTCTAACATTTGCACGTGCACATGCACATATTATTGTCAATTGAGTTCTAAAGCCAACTGGATAATGTGCCAAACAGACTGAGAACCAATCAGAGCTCTCCATGCTCAGCCAATGGCAGCTGCTGATACTGAAACCTGAGCCAATGGGAGCTCTCACTGCTGTGAGATGGACAAGAAACTGTGAAAAAGTCCTTTCTTTTAATAAACATACTGCATTGATGATGGCATCAAAGACGAGGAAGCCGAAGAGAGGATGAAGAAAAACGTTTGCATGTCACTTTGAGTTTTTTCTTTACGATAAATTGACAGCCGGAAGCTTTGAGCCTGGCTGCATTTTAATGTTTAATAATAATAGTAATAAGAATAATATCAACGACTTAATTGCAGTAATAATGTGGTTCTTGTTATGTATAGTGTATGTTTTTAAGAACTCAAGTGTGCTATTTTGCTTTCACCAGGAGGCCGTTATTAATGCTATTAGTTAGAGGCGAGCTGGTTAACTTCTCCCACAACATTCAAAATGTTGAGAACGTCTGGTTTGAGAGAAGCTGAAAATGTCAAGGTTCTTCTGACATTTCATATCTTAGACGCATATCATTTTTGCAATGACCACATGTGGTCAATATCATGAGATTTCCATGGTGGTGTTATCAAACACTGATAGAGATGTGGAAATGATCCCTCATCACTTTCTTGGTAGTTGCTTTTCACCAAAGTAAATTAAGATTTGGGATGGATACCCCGAAAATCCAACATAAAGTTGTGGGTATTTTTTGACATATGAGTATAACCACATAGTATTTCGTTTCTTTGTGATCTGACTGTTTCAGTATATATTAAACTTGCCTGCCCTCAAAATGTTTTTCCAGAGAAACACACAGACTCATATAACATAAGACATGAGTCCTGAGATTTGAACCCATTGCATTTGTCTTTTGTTTAAAATGACTTTTGTTTATGTTGACAATGATCTTTAGTGGTCATATGAATTATGACTGTCTTTAAGGAATAAAGAGTGTGATATGAAAGTGTTAATAAAATGCGTGTACGAAGAAGGTGTGTGACTGATAAGAGATATTACTGTCCATTTTATATTTCAGCCTCTCCTGAATTAATATCTTTGGATGTCCTGCACTAGCTGTTTTATTGTAGAGATCACTACAGTATCTTCTTGATATTTTCTATTCTATATTTCTATCATTGACCTTCTACTTTCCCCCTATTTTGTATGTAGGCTACTCTTAATATTTAAATGTTTTCATCAAATATAACATATTCAATAACAAAATAACATACAGCATACAATGCCATAATAACTTTATATTATTAGTGTAGGACACTTATATATATATATATATATATATATATAAGTTATACTTGTAGATGTGTAGTTTTATTCATGTTTTCAGCTAACTTTACAGGATATTGCTATATTATTTCACATATTGTAGTTCTACACATTAATATCTGAGGTATATCCGTCATTCCATAGATGTGTTTCCCATCACCCAAATCCCCTGACTATTCTCTCATCTCAGTATTTACATTCTTTAATTCAAAGAAAATCAGTAATATCTTTAAAAACGACAAGTC